AAACATCAAATATTTAGAACTGAACTCTGCTTCTCTTCTAGCTAAATAAACCTTCCCCTCCTTTTGCTTATCGCATGGAAGGCAGCCCGGATCTAGGCACAGTGTTGCTCTTCTATCAGGATTTTGGCAGGCGAAAGGCTAAATATTGCTCTTCTGGGTCCTTGCATCATAGGGGTTAAGTGTTTCCTGTAAGCAAAGATCCAGCCATGTTGTAGATAAGTGTATGTACGTGTGGAGTAGCTCAGTGACATGCGTGTGTCATGTTTAATTTGCGATGTCACCGCAGCCTGCTTTCAGCCTGTCCTCATGAATCACCAGCAGAAAGCAGATCACATCCCCAAGAGGTAAAAGTAAACTTCCTATAGCTAAGCTGTATCCTCCAAGCCTGATTCAGAAAGCACTTACATATTATGAAACCCTACAGATCTATCATTTCTCCTATACCGGCAAAGCTGGAGCGAATATAGGTGGTGTCACCAAGTGTTTAGATCACAGAATGGTCTTTAGATGTCACAGGTGAACTGTCACTTTTAGCCTGCTTCCTTTCTTTTCCTGTGACCTCGCATTATTATAATGACAATAAGCAAATGTATAGAGAATCGCAGTGCGCAGAATGTAAATGTAGCTCCTCTCCTTTGCTCCTTCTCCTTGCGTTCCTTGAGCCAAATCTCGCTTCCCGTTAGACCTCCGTCTGTCACTCCGTCTGGAGGTTTCAAGTGTTTTTTACGTTAATTAAAAAAAACTCCTATTGACAAACCTGTTACATCTGACACAATAAGTGCTTTGCATCAGCAAACAGCTGACATATTGTCCGTCTAAGTGCACGTAGATTTATATATTTAATGTATACCTTTTATGACCCTCTAAGTGCTTACACCTATATTTATACCTCCATATATTACTTGATTCTTACACCCTTCAATTCTAACTTTCATTACTCACACCCGGGCCGACCTCTAGATACTTGCCATCCAGGCCTATATAAATGCGGAAACTTTAGATACTGTACACCCTTATTGTTTATAATATATATTTATATCACAATATTATTTGTTAACCATCCACGGGACACATAAATCAAGTGCCTTAATGGATTGGGAGTGAAGCTGTGTGTGTTTTCGTGTGAGAAGGGGGGGAGAGGGGAATAAATATATCTGGCAAGTGTTGGAGATAATGAATTAATATTGATTCTGAGACACGAGAAGGAGAGAGAGAAAAGGGAGTAACAACTTGTGCTTTGCTGATGTTTTATGGGGGGCTGCTCTCCGTGGACCTACCTAGCAGGATCTAGAGAGGGCAACACGGAGAAAAACAAAGCCATAAATAAGATAGGAAAGAGAAAAGAAGGTTTTTTTTTTTTCCTACCAGCTCGCTGTGGACTTTGTGAGTTACAGAGCCCCTGGCTCTTTCAAATTTATAGCTATCCAGCACTAATGCACTTGGCACAACTTCTAGAATCCTAAGTGCACAATCCGAGCCCAAACAAGATGCAGACACTGTGGAAAACTGGTAGTCTAAGGGATTGGTTGGCCCATGGGGTTGATATACTAAAGACAAATGCTATTTTAAGGTCAACTGCTGTTTGCTCCAATATGCCATGAAGAGAAACAGCGGCATCTGTATCGGGAGGAAAGATGAAGATCTCGTCTCAGGTGACTTCAGTAGACAGTACGAAGAGAGGTACGTTCTTTGCACCATGCTCCCGAGTGCCTTCTTGATTCGCCTGCTCCCCTATATATTAGAGGAGTATGGACAGTGATTGAGTTTACGTTTTTTTTTTTTCTTCATACCTAGGATGGAGCTGAGGGTTTAGATATCTCTAGGTCCATGAGTTCCTTCAGCTATTTGCTCACACTACATTCTCTATAGAATGATATAGCATTATTGAATCACCTACACATTATTTTTCCATTCTTTTATACTGCTAAATTGCTAACAGTCTTAAAGGATTTTAAAACATAAAAAAATATGTCCGGCTATATTAAAAAAATCAAATTTTGCACCGGGGTGCTGTGATTTTTACTACTGCTAATACACAGATATGATCCTCGATGGAGACACTCTAGCATTCCTGTCACTCACCAGTCACCTCAATTTCTGTGCGGTGTTTGCAGGAAGAAAGTACATCACTCTGCTCATTTTCTATACGTTTAGGAACAGATAATCACCGTGTCATTGTGCGAGGACACCGAGCATTGGAACACATCCTCAGGCTCAGAGAAAAAGCAAGAAAAGTGCCTCTGCTCCAACTTAGGGTGAGCACTGTCACTTGTATAAAGGAAGTCAGAATATATGTACGTCCATTACTATCCACTGGACATTTTGTTAATTGGGCCCACTATACAACAATGGTCAGTGGAAATACAGCCTATACATTGGTGGTCAGCATAGACAAATATATGATTCCTGACTCTCTAAGTTGACTGCCTTATTTCATAACCTCCAACCCCTGGTGCATGAATATCCTTAGGGGTTGATTTACTTAAGGCAAATAGACTGTGCACTTTGCAAAGTGCAGTTGCACTCTGCAAGAGCAGTTGCTACAAAGATTAGTGAATGAGAAAAAGACTGTCTTGTTCTTCATAACGCTGCTTTTAGATGGGTTTTGGTGTTTTTCGTAGAAGTTCAGCCATGCTTTACTCAAACATTAATATACTTTATGCTCCTGATGGCCAAAATTGTGATAGGGACCATCTGGAAGAGTCCTGTCATGGACGTGGAGGTAATGAAACTATAATTAACTTGGATAATGACCAACGAAAAAATGGTCAGCATTTTGAAAGATAATTTCTTGTGGTTTAATGTCTGCAACTCCTCTATACTCCACATGCAAACTCCATCTAAATAACCACGGTGGCGATGACTGGGAATGGCTCTCAGATGGACTGTGGCTCCTCTCTCTTTTTCCCTCTTTCTGTTTCTTTACCTCTTTTTACATATGCAAAATACATAATATCTGATGAAGTGACTTGGGTCACGCCTCATTAGGGTAACTGGCTCATCTTTATCTGATTGCTTAATGCTGGACAGATATTCCTGTGAATGGTAAACATATTGAATGTGCAGACTCATTATATTTAAATGCCTAAAGCTGTCCATAGACAGTTCGAATCTTGGCCAGTTCAGCAGCAACCGGATGAGATTCGAACCATGTACGGACAGGCTGAATGTACCCAAGTTGATCAATCGATCAACTTAGGCAGAACCATCCTGTCAAATGTTACATACGATTACTGCTAGCGGCTATTATGGCCGCTAGCAGTAATCACTGTGTTCTCCCAGAGGGGGCGGCTCACCCCGCCACCCCCCCCACCCCACCAATGGGAAAACACAATTGGTCCATGGGAGAGATTCACAGTCAGTGTTGATGGGGGATTTGAGCGACTTTCTTTCCTGTAACCCACAATTGCAGAAAAGAAAATCACTCCATCTATGGCCGGCTGTAATGACATGTATTATTGATAAGTCTGGTGACATGACCTATAGTAATTTGTCACTTCTGATATATGTATCTTATCTTTATGACTGTTCTGTGACTCTACTCACCTATTTTGCAGAATTATTTTCTGTATTCCTATATTGATGGTTGTCTGTCTTTTACTAGTTGAATTTTTTTTTAAAAAAAAACTATTGAAACAGAAAAATTCAGACATGCTGCATTTGTTCACATCACACCACACCTCGGTTCACGGCATTGCATGCCGCCACACTCAGCAGAGCTACAGTGCATAGAACTGAATGAAAAATCGTTTTGTGACATTTCAATACGTTTAAAAAAAAAAAAAAAAAAGACAGTCTCTTGTGTTTTTGCACAAAGCACTGCCCCTCACCACCCCAACACAATGGAACCACGCTATAATAGGTGGTGAGAACAATATTTGGAAAGTAATCAAAACAATTTATTAAAGTTAATAAGAATATACATAAACAAGAATTTATATAGCATATTATTTGTGAAATATATGCAATTATTTAATATTCTAAACAGCTTAAATCCAAGAATAAACATGTAATATATTGCTGCGTATTTATCCTTCAATGAGGTGGTTGAATTGGTTTTCTTTTTTTAGGCTTTTTTTACCTTAGTTTTCACTTGGTGATCTGGCCATTGATACACTTCCTATTTTAGGGCGTCTCCACTCTGGATGGAGAAACCTTTGAACAGCAGCATTGTCAATCTGAAGGAGGGTAGTATTGGAGATAGATAGATGTGACCAGGGGCAGACTGACAACTCATGGGGCAATAGGGGATCATGGGGCCCTTGTGTCCTCGCCCACACTCAAACCACACTCAAAAAAGCCTATGAAAGGTACCAGAGGCATCTCATGGGGCCCCCTACTGACCCCGGGCCCTCGGGCAGTGTCCAAGTTCCCAAATGATCAGTCCGCCCCTGGACGTGACTAACAAATTTAATTTTTTTCCTTTTAACCTCCCTAGTAGTCTGATTATGTCCATATTTCTGTGCTTAAAGCGGTACATTGTTTTGTATGGAAATATGTCATTTTTTTATTGTAGGCCTGTAATTCTTAGGAATAACTCACTGAAATCTGTCCGATCAAGAGTCTAGTAAACATTCCGGATATGATAAAACTTGAAACACGAAATCATAAATTATAATTTAATAAATAATCATAAAAAAATAATAATATAATAATAATAAACGTAATTCAATAATATAATCAAACCAAAAACACTGAAATTTGAAATAGAGTGCCAAGTTCGCACATCGTATTCAGTGTCTGATGACGAATTTTCCCACAAATCATTATCACTCAATTCTGCAAGTAGTTCTAATTTACTATCGCTGTTCTCTAGCTGCCGGTCTAAAACCACTTTTGACCTAAAGGGACGCTTTTTGGACGCCATGTACATTTCTCAGTTTCCAGGCAGAAAGAACAATAAAAATGTAGGCAGGGCACAGGACAAAGCACTAGGGACAAAATGTATGTGAAATGCTTTGATACAGTAATGTTTTACTATGTGATTTTAGTGATTTTAGTGAATGTCACTTTTTGTAATTTTCAAGTTTCCCGCCGTTCCGTCCCCCGTATGTCCCGACGCTCGCAGGGAACGGAACCCAGATGACAGATGCCAGCATCCGCCGGATTACATTGCCGGGGACACTGCAGGAGGGACATCGCAGGAGCGCAGGACAAGGTAAGTGATCGAAGGATTGTGGAGCAGCGTCGCATGGTAAGCCCGAGTGTAGTTCGGGGTTACCGCTTGTGGTACTGAAACTTTACCCCGAGCTACACTCAGGAATACCGCCAGGGAGGTTAAGATAGAGGTTTTACATAATTAAATAAAAGCTGACCATTATAAGCACCCTTATCAGTGGTAAATGGTTTGTCTCAATTCTCTAACTGACACTTTTGCTGGTCAGCGTAAAGCAAGTTGAAAAAATAACAGTCTTACTGGCTGAATCACCAGGTACAAATAAAGAAAAAAAGCCTATAAAAGGAAACTAATGCAACCCCCACATCTAAGACTTAGTAAATGCCAATATAGTAAATTGTTGTTTTTGAATTTAATACCGCTTTAAAGACTGACTCTTGTAAAGAGAAGAAACTGCTGCTTTACATTACAGCAATTACACTTAATGCAAGATGTCTGAGGCCTCAACATGACTTTACATGCTGCTGCCTAACAACCAGGCTTATGGATGGCATGTGGCGCTAGAAGTGACAGTATCTATGGATTAGGAGCTGATATTCTTCAATACAGATAAGTCAGCCACAAACCCAGAAATATAGCAGCATATTGCAGGTGAATAGTGGCAGGCAATAGGTTTCTACATATACAAGTCACATTAGTTGAATTTTTTTGTTTTTTTTGTAGTTTTTTCCGCTCGCCTGCTTTTTGATTTATGCTTTCAGTGCATTTGTGACAGCTCTAATTCCCATTACTAGACTGAATGACTGCATTAGAAATCTTGGGCTTCAAAACAATTTCTGCATTTTGGATGTGTCATTTAGAATAACAAGTTTACATTATTTATATGTAATGTGACAAAAACCTCCTGTGAATGGTGTCTCCACTGGTGTCATGTAGGTACACCTGAGTTCTTCCTATAAAAGCCAAAATGGTAATACAGGCATACCTCGGTTTACAAACGCTCGGTTTAACGTAATCCATTTAATGCCTCGGTTTATGAATTTTTTTTTAAGAATGGAAAATCGTTTTTTTTTTATCATTGTACTATGCCTTTAAGTGCCTAAAGGGTTTTGAACAGATAAACTTTTTTTTTTTTTCGCGGAACAGATTACGCATTTACAATTTTCTTTAATTAATTGGTTTTCAATGCATTTACGTTTTTTTTTTAATCATGTCCCTGTGCGGTACTATGCCTTTAAAGTGCACTTTATAAAGGGTTTTGAACAGATAAGACGTTTTTAACTTTTTTCTGACCTCCGGAACGGATTAATTGGTTTTCAGTGCATTTATAATTTTCTTTCACAATACGAACGGATAATTGGTTTTCAATGCATTTACAAATTTTTTTTTAATCATGTCCCTTTATGGTACTATGCCTTTCAAGTGCACTTTATAAAGGGTTTTGAACAGATAAGACTTTTTTAACTTTTTTTTGACCTCCGGAACAGATTAATTGGTTTTAAATGCATTTACAATTTTCTTTCACAATACAAACGGATTAATTGGTTTTCAATGCATTTACTTTTTTTTTTTAATCATGTCCCTGTGCGGTACTATGCCTTTAAAGTGCACTTTATAAAGGGTTTTGAACAGATAAGACGTTTTTAACTTTTTTCTGACCTCCGGAACGGATTAATTGGTTTTCAATGCATTTATAATTTTCTTTCACAATACGAACGGATTAATTGGTTTTCAATGCATTTACAAATTTTTTTTTAATCATGTCCCTTTATAGTAATATGCCTTTCAAGTGCATTTTATAAAGAGTTTTGAACAGATAAAATACTTTTTTTTTTTTACTTTTTTCTGACCTTAGGAACGGATAAATTGGTTTTCAATGCATTCCTATGGGAAACAGTGTTTCGGTTTTATAAATTTTTCACAATGCGAAAAGTCCCGCAGAACATATTACATTTGTAAACCGAGGTACGCCTGTATACTTTTTTTTTTTTTCATTTGCATTCTAATTCTCCCTTTTTGTTGGGAATTCAAGCTAATGCCATGGTGTTTTAAACATTACCGAAGTTGAAATAATACAACTTCATATGTATATGTTGATAAGTAAATTAGGATGTTCATTTAAATTATTTATAGATGTTAAAGTCTATCTAAACTCAAAAACAAAAATTTTAAATATTGCAGCTTACCCAGTCTTTAGATATGGTGGCTGCATTGGTTTTCATTTTAAGTCTAAAACCATTTTCGGCCAAGTATAGTAAATACCTTGTGATCTTGTCAGAAATGCAGTGTCCTTGTCACTTTCTGGGTGCTGAGCAGACAGCAAAAACAACCTTATCTTTCTTTAGTGAACTACTAATCCACGTAAGCTACATGTACTGGAGATGAACAAAGGCAGACATATTTAAAGTCTAGCTTGGATGACAACCATGGCTTCCACAAGAGATACAGGGGAGGAGTGAGTGTGGCCACCCAGGGACAGGAATTGTGTTATTCTCAGTATTACTAGTGAAATTAAAGCAGAAAAATCAAAGATACTTCCATAAGTGCAGTCTCTAATGTATTATGCAGCATATACTATACATCCAATGCTGCTCTTGTCTACTGGCACCAAAACAGTATTTGATAGGGTAGACTGGCTGTTTCTCTTTAGGGTTCTGCACAAAATGGGTTCCATATTATTATCATGGATAAAAATGTTTTTATACTCCGTGCCATCAGATCAGGTCTATATCATTGGCCACTTGTCAGTGTTTTTGTAATGGTAATGACATACCCCCTATAACCAATGTTGTTAATCTTGTTCCTAGAACCCTTCACACCATTAGACAAAATTTTAATATAAAGGGCCTGGCCATAGGAGCAAATTATTTTAAACCGGTGGCTTATGCAGATGACATGCTTTGCTCTTTTCAAAAAATCCAGAGTATTGTCTGAATTGGAAACATTTCATCAAATGTCAACTTTAAGATAAGCATGGCTAAGTCTGAAATACTAAATGTTAACCTTCAACCTCATGGGGCAAATTGTTTACAATATGCCTTTCCATTTGTATGGAAACCATGTGCTCTAAAATTTTATTTGGGTATTATTATACATCGCTGTTGGACAATCTGACTAAAGATCCTAATATCAGGACCTGTTATTATTTTACTTGGTTGGGCCTTATAAATATCAATAAGATGACTTTTCACCCTAGAATATTATTTTATATGCAAATACTCCCAATCCCTCTCTTCACTTCTTTTTTTGCCAGTCTTAAAAAAATTTAAATAAAAACCACATTAAAAATACAGTTGTTATATAGAACAACATCTGAAGGAGCATGGGCCTCCCCAACATTAAACAATATTTTGAAGCATCGTTTCTTGCAAGGGCATTGGCTTGCCATTTTATGCTATTCAACCTGAATTTATGAGTCACAGTCAACTTCATTTAGATCTGTGGATCCCAGAGCACAGTCGACAAATTAAAGCTCCGACTTTGCCCCTTACGAAACAGGTTTTCTAGATTTAGGATAATATATGCAGTACACATGAATGGAAATGTCCAGTGATATCTATGATGGATTCTCCATGGTTCCTTCCCAGGCTGATTCTTGGATCTTTTAAAACCTCTATGACAGAGGGCTTGCTAACATTTTACAATCTACTGAAAGGAACTCACTTAATGTAGCTGGTAGAAATAGTGTCCAAATACAGCATTTTTATCATTATCTTCCTATGCTTTTATGTTCTATTAAAGAACTGAATCAATTACACAGACTGTTTTTTCACCCCATTGCCCCTCAAAAAAGTGTATCTACTCTATATAGAATAAGGCAGCCTTTAACTACTCATCCTTACTGTCACGATTTAGCCTGCAGTTTACCTGCCTGTGTAATTCTTACCTCTTTCCTGCAGTGCTTCTCCTAGACCTGTGATTCCATTCACATGTGTTGTTTGGCTTCTGTGCTCACCTATTCACATCACTGCTTTTCTGTGGGTTTTTATATATCCTTTCCTTTACATCACCTCTTGACCCGCTTCCCAGTTTGCTTCCCTATATAAGACATGCTCAGTGCAGCCCACGTTGCCTAAGCAACTTCCTAGTTCTCTGAGCTCCTGTTACCTAATGTTACATGTATTCAGTGCCTGACCCAGGTACCAACCCTGGCTTTGTTTACCATTTGTACTTGCCTCCCTTGACCTCGGCTTGTTTCTTGGATTTCCTTCGGTCTGCTGTTCGTACGAGTGATCTCCGCATATTCAGCTGGGCATACCTGAGGGCCGTAACCTGGTTCCAGCATGCTGTAAGTCCATTCCAAACATCAGGGGACCTGGTTTAGAGGTAGGCTGGGGCTTAGACTCCGCACCCTGGGGACCACCAAGTTGGCCTTTTACAAGGGCTCACTACCACAAAAACCTGACACTTAAAGATTTATCTCCAAGTCCAAGTAGGAACAAGAATTGGACATCCAATTTGCAAATGATCAAAACATACAGTGATGGCTCTAACTCATGTTTCATCAATAAAGCCTTAGCTATATTCTTCTCTATTGAAGAATCTAACTTAAAATGATCGGCACACTGCTACAGGGTACCATTGCATACACATCAAATTTGGCCACATCTTCCAAACACGTGCTGGAGGAAATGTGGACTAGTAGGTTCCTTTGGCCATATATGGTGGTTATACCCAGTGATCCAGATATATTGGAGCCATATATTAAAAACAATTTAAGACATACAGGCAGTGTTCTGGAACAAGATCTGTGGACCTTGCTAAACCACTGCACACAAGATTCTGGTAGTAACTATTGAAAGTCTCTAATCCCATTTTTTCTGAATGCAGCTAAAAGTCTTATTCCTGTATATTGGAGACAATCATCTACGCCAACAGTAAGGGAATGGCTATTAAGAGTAGATCAATACTGCACGCACGATGGAAGATATATTACATTATAAATCTGACACATATTTCATATTCTATCAGACTTGGACAAGCTGGTTGGCATTTAAAATCTACAGAAAAGTACCTATCTGT